TTAGCCATGGAAAGAATTTTCCACTCCCTGCCTCTGGGAGAATGTTTTGGTCATTGTCTTAGTTGCTATGTCACTTTGAGCCAACCCACTGAATCTCTGAACTCAAAATGATGGTAATAGTTCTGCTTTCCCTACTTTAGGGACCTAGTAAGATGACTAAATGAAATTATAGACAGAAAGCACTACCTCTGCAAAAGCATTATTGTTGTATGTCTGGGTCTGAAATTTTCCCTGCTAGTTTCCCTTTTGCTCTTGTCTTAACTAGATGCAGTGTGTGAAACACAGTTTTTTTTCTCTGTAGCATCCAGGTGTGCTTTTCATGAAGAGCTAGTAGACCAAACATCTGTTTCCAACTCCTACTTTGTTTTGATGGTAGGACTTTTCCCTTTATCTTTCTTCTTGTTCATTATATAGGTCTTGAGCAGAGTTCTGATATTAAATTATAAATTACACTAATAATGTCTTTTAACATGTCTGCAAAGAGAAGGGAAAAGAAGGTGCACTCCTCCCTGACAAAATTAAGTTTTGTTGAATAAATGCTCCAACTTGGTGAGAATCTGGGAGAAATGAGAGTCTAGAACGAGAAATGCAGAACTTATTTGCTAAAATGCTGAGGGTCTATTTCTATTCCGTGTGCCTTAACTTGGGTAAAGATGAAGTGTTATGTGGCAGGATGCAACTGCATAAGCCACAGCTTCCTAACACTCCCTGGCTCTGTTTTATTCATCCCCTTTTTCTATTCTGTTTCCTTTCTTTCTTCTTCTTTTTTCTTCTTCTTCTTCTTTTCTATTCTGCTTCCTTTCTAAAACTGTCATTTCTCTAGTGTCCTGCAGGGTACTTATACTTAGACCCCTTCCCACAGGGACTTACTACCCATCGGCAGGAGCTGTCAGCTCCCTCCAGGTCTGTCCTACCTCTGCTGAGGTCACCCCCTTCCCCGGTCAGCCCTCATGCAGTGACTAAACAGGCTGGTGGTATAAAGTTGGGCCTTCTCAGCCTGCCATGAGACACTATGGGCCTAGCACTTGGGAGTTCCCAGGTTGGTGAATTTAGGCATTTCTGTGGGCCTGCATCACAAATCCATTTTTTCTTCTGTCCTACCTTGTTTCCTCTCCTTCCTTCACAGGTATTGATTGCCAATGTCTTTTAAAAATGTTTTAAAAACAGCCTTATTGAGATTTATTTACCATAAAATTTATAACCCATAAAATTTACTGTTTTAAAGTGTACAGCTCAGTTATTTTAGTACAGTCACAAAGTTGGGGACTACCACCACTAATTCCAAAACATTTTTAGGACTCTTGGAAAGAAGCTATGCACCAATTAACAGTCACTGCCATTTCCCTTTTCCCCCAGCCCCTGGTACCACCAATATACTTTCTTTCTTTCTTTCTTTCTTTCTTTCTTTCTTTCTTTCTTTCTTTCTTTCTTTCTTTCTTTCTTATGGGAAACTTCTTTCTTTTTATTTAGACCGTAAAGAGAAAAAAATGAACTTTGTTCACATATTATCTTAAGAAAAATCCAGTTTTACATATTTCTAAATCAATAGAACTAAATGATCAGAGAAATACTTCCTTCTGTAAAAATTGGCCAAATTTTATCAAATATCTAATATCTGGTATAATTCAAATTATATAAAGACTGTCTGGGATCATAACATTCCAAAGTTGTGACAACTGTAATTACATTCTAATGGCTGTTAATATACTTGTTGTCATGTTACTTTTGTCCAAAAGAGAAGAGCTGAATCAGTCAGAGTAAACTAAGTATTAGTCTTTTGCCAACAGTAGTTTAGATTGTGATGGGCAGCAGAAATATTCGTGATAAGTAGTTCTACTTTAATGAAGTGTAATTAAGGAATATTTTTCGTGAGCATCTCAGAGCATCACATGACCTTTTGTAAGAGAAAACTATGAAAGGAAAAATAAAGATGAAACAGCTACCACAAACAAAAAGTATTCCCCTCAAAAGCACATGCAGGGGTGAGGGGTGAGGTTAGAGGGCCGATGATGCTGACGTGAATGGGAGGTGAGCACTGTATTTATTTGTTTTATACAACTCTTGCTCTTTACAAAAAAGGTTATAATCATGCCCCTGAAAGGGTAATCCATGGCATTTGAAATCAAACACTTTGTAGTCATTTAAAAGGCCTGTTTTCAAAGTTAGCATACAAAGGTCTGTGCGTCCTGCACTGTGCATTATGACAAAAAGGCTTACTTTTAATAAGGACCATTTGGGAGTTATGAACCCATGGGTTTAACAAGTATCATTTTATGGTTGCCTTTTGCATCTTTTTGTTTTGGGGATCTTCCACTTAATCAGGGTGCTCAGTAGCTTATTGCAGTTTGTTGGTAGAGTCTTCCTTTTCTGACCCTGTATCAGTTTCAGACTCATTCGGACTTTCAGGGTCAGGTGAGTCATCCTCGTGGTTGTTGTCTTCATCATCATCATCATCATCATCATCATCATCATCATCATCATCTGTAGCCGCATCACCTCCTCCATCATGGTCTACCTCACTGAAGCCAAGTTCACAGCGCCATCGATGCTTCCTGACTATTTACTGTACACAGTGCTGATACTGAGACTCCAATTTTTCATTAATTTTCTTGGCTTCTTCTCCTGGACGGAAATGTGATGTTGATTTGTGATCTCCTATAACAAGATGACTCGTGTGTTCCTTTTTTCCTGCACCCTGAGGAACGTCTGAAGAACTTTAGTTTTCTCTCTTGACTGCCCAAGTCTGCTTCCTTCCAATCGCTAGATCTGAGGTCATTGTCTCTGAAAGCTGAAGACTTCCTCAGTACCAGTGAGATTCCCTGCCAGTGCTCATGGTTGCTGTGACCCCAGCAGCAAATGCCGAACATGCTCGCTGGCAGCCACCAGCCCCAGCCCATTAATCTACCTTCTCTAAGACCGTCTACTGTGGATATTTCCTATAAAAGGCCACTGTGTGGTGTGGCCTTTTGTGACCTTTTTCACTTAGCATAATGATTTCAAGGTTTATCCACGTTGTGGCACATATTAGTACTTCATTCCTTTTTCTGAGTAGGTAGCATTTTAAAATCAGATATGTATTCAGATTCTAATTCTGTTTATGCAGATATCAGCTAATGTGAACTTGGTCAATAATAAACGTGTCATATCCCAAACTCCATCTTAGCTTGTATTTCTGGAGTCTGACCAGCCAACTACACACACATGAAAGCTTTAGGGCCTTAATTTCTGTATCAATGGAAGTTTTCAAAAATTTTCCAATAAATGTGGTTCTGACAAAGTGAAATCCTGGCACCAGATGCCAAGATAATAAAAAACTCTGTTATTACAATAAGTAATGTGGGCAGTCTGTCAACCACTTGTTTGGTAGCAGGTTTGTGCAAGGAAGAGATTTCATGTGCTTGAAATTTGGTTAAAAAAAAAGAGAGAGAGAAGAAGACAGAAGAGTCAGGAGAAAGATGAGGCCAGAGGGACCTATACCGGTCACACTGGGAATGGCATTTATGGCGTACTGAGATACTTGAAACCTTTGCTCGTGCAGGGAAGACATATAGAAGGCCGTGTGAGGTCAAGGTACCCTAATTTTACTTGTGAATTACAAATAGCAGGTAGATCTTCCATCTCAGAAGACGTTTTGATTTGTTCAAAGTCTGAGAGAAAATAAATTACTAAAGGTAAAGGGATACATTGTTGGGTTGAAGGAAGTCAGAAAGAATATTAGGGATGGGGATCTGAAACTGACATGGGAAGAAGATGGAGAAGAAGAAAAGCAGCATTGTGTATGGAGACTATGGTCTTCAGGGTTGACACACCTGGATGTTTATCCCTCTTCCATTCCCTAGTAGACCTGTGACTTCGGGCAGATCCCCTGACTTCTCTGACTTACCATTTCCTCATCTTTAAAGGAGGATAATAGTACAATCACCAGCTTTTTCTCATGAGATGAAAATGATAGCCAACTCCTCTTAGCTCGTGTTTCCTGTTCCCATTTCCAGTTGGGTCAGGAAAGCAGTGCCCAGGGTGGGGCTTCAGAGTTGGATTACAGGCAACCACAAGCAGAAGACAGAGAATGCCAGGGGAGCATGGAGCCAATGGGGGGGGGGTCAGGGAAAGAGAAGACCAGAATCAAGGGAACTGCAGGAATCAGGTTAGGCAGATGCATATCTGTATGAATACAATTTTTCTGGATATTTGTTCTTTTTAAGGGTTCAAAACAATATTTCTCCCTCCATCAACCTAATTTGCCTAATATTCACTGGGTGCCTTTCGCTAGTGGGGCCTGAAAAATCTCACACATAATTTTAGACCTTTTACAATAGTGAGCCAGAAAAAGCAAAGTCAAGGGCTGCATTCAGGGAGTGCAACTGATTAATTCTAAAAATCCATAAACAGCCGCCTCCTTTGTTTTTATTTTTGTTTTAAAATCCCCTTTTACTGACATATATCTTAACTTTTTTAAAAAATCATTTCTCTAATTTTTAGTTCCAAGTGATAGATGCTCAAGATCTGTGACCTCTGCAGTACATTGCCACCCCGTTATGCTAGCACTGAAAGTCAAGCAGACTTTGGCAGCTGCTTCTGAGCTACCCTGGACCCTTGCCATCTCTGAAGTTCATCTCCGTTTCAGAGTCTGCTACTTGTCAGCTGTACAGAGATACTGCCAGCCTCTAAGGACATGAAAACAGCACACAAGACCATGCATTTGACCTGCTGGCTCACTCTTCTTTTGTAGGGGGACACTGGCAGCCTCTAGAATTAGCAAAATGGTACAAACGCTGTGCATTTGACCCACTGGGGATCACTCATGGCACCTGCATTTTGAAGAATACAAAGATAACTGAAGTCTGTGATAAGGACATGACACCACAGGGGAATGTTTTTTAGATGCTTACATAGAATGCATGGGTTTTTGATTGTCCTGAGTTCAATTATTTGTCAATATTTTCCCAGAGCTTCCTATTACTCTGAAATTCATGAAGCTACTTTTTTTCCTTTTTTTGCAGATCAAAGACAATAAAATAGTGGCATTTTCACATGGTTCCAGCTGACATATGACAGGCACCATGCTAGGAACTGGAGGTGGAGAGATGAAGCATAGCTTCTGGCCTGAAGAAGCTTCCAGAGTCCAAAGAGAAGGACAGAAGTGATTGAAATGCAAGTGATATGGGATGTCTTTCAAATGTGATAGATGATGGCATCCCAAGAGGAAAGGACTAAAGAAAAGCTTCCCAGAGAGGTCTCCTGGGATTTTGTGCATGGAATAAGAGATATTTTTTTTGGTGGAGTTCTTAAAATTGGTAATAAAAGCTAGGGATATACAGTGTGGTGACTTTATACAATTTCAATGTAGCATAAGGTCAAACCTCAATAATTAATCTTTTATTATGCATCAATCATCGCTTCTCTGATGTAACCTTGACTAATGCACACAGCTAGACTGAGGTCAACCTGTGTGTGATTGAGTGCCATCCCACATTCGATGACATATTAAGTAGCAAAGAATAATGTGTTTGCAAATGTCAACATTTATATTGATGGCCCTGGGAAATTCTCAAGGGGACCATTCCTAGCATCTCTTTCCCAGGGGGTGTTACCAGTCTTTATTTTTTCTTCTCTTCTCCTGATCCATCACATTTGGTCCAAATGCCAGAGAAAACCAGGAGCCTTGAAAGGTTCAGAGAATGCCAAACTGAGGAGTTTTAGTGACAGATAAGCCTTCTGACTATGGAATGGTCCTCCTGTCTTCTACTCCTCTGAATCCTGAGTGCTCTGCTGGGCAAGGAAGACATTGATGCGTGTTGCAGTGGACTTAGTGTTGCTGCAGGAACTTTATAAAACAATGCATGTCACGTCCTTACCATACGGTCTAACACAGTGGAAGCATTCAATAATGTTAGCCTGCTTTCGTTAGTTATTATGTACATATGTGTATATGTATAACACAAACCCATTAAGGGTACACTGGTTTCAGGCATTTTTCTAATGAATTAATTCAACTTTACCCTTCGATACAAAATAATGAAACTCTTCAAACAATAATATGCATAGGTGCTATTACCATGTTCTTTATGACTGTGCTTTAACACAAAATATTGAAAAATTTATAGCATTCTCTACTTCAAGTCAACTAGGATTAATAGCATTAACCATTTAACTGTTAAGGGTACATCTCCGTGGCACTGATTCCATTCATATTGTCCTATCATTGCTGCCATTCACTTACAGAACTTTTCATTTTCTCAAACTGAAACTCTACCTGTTAAACAGTAACGCTCTATTCCTTCCTGCCTTTACCCCACACCACCCCTGGCAGCTACCATTCTTTCTGTCTGTATGAGTTCATTTATTTTAGAACCTCACACATCCAGAATTGTACAATATGTGTTCTTACGTAACTGCCTTATTTTATATCATAGTTCTTTCTTTCTTTCTTTCTTTCTTTCTTTCTTTCTTTCTTTCTTTCTTTCTTTCAAGGCAGGTTTTGTTCTGTTGCTCAGGCTGTCCTTGAACTTGTGATCCATTTCAGCCTCTTAAGTAGCTGAACTTGGCTTTTACCCTACCGTGTTGGGGACCGAACCTGGCGCCTCGTGCATGCCAGGCAAGCACTTCACCACTGAGCCCCATCCCCAGCCCTCATTTAACATAATTTAGAGACTTGTTGTGACATGTATCAGAGTCTTGTTTTTTAATACTGAATAATGTCACTATGCTCCATTTTAGTGATCATTGCATTTGCTGATGGGCACTTGAATGCCTGTCTTTTATCTCTTTTGAATAAAGCCACTATGAATGCAGCTGTACACATATTTGAGTCCTTGCTTTAATTTCTCGTGGATGTATACTCAGAAGTGGAGCTACTGGATCATAAGCTCTATCTTTAAATTTTGAGCAACTAGCTTTTATCAGAATTATTATTAATGTTATTTCAAAGTTTCTCTTCTAGTGAACAAAGGGGACAGAGAGAGCAGGCTAAGAGGGTGTCAAGGTCTGTCATGGCTTGAAGAAGTCAGTGCTAGTGGTCTGTATGCCATGACCCCAACTTTGACTCTGGCACAGTGCAACTCTTTCTTCTTCTGGCATAGAGGAAAGGGTGTGTAGGCAAGGTCAATTGAACATGGGGAGGGTCAGCCCAACCTCCCCTACAATCATAGGGGAGATTGGGCACCTGAGGTTTTGGCTGTGCAGCTGAAATGTTGCTCTTTCTCCCTACCTCCTGTGGTGTTGACAGGTGGCAGGTGCAGTGCAGAGAGAGGCCCAGGAGTGGGGCAAGCTGAGGAGGACCTGAGACTGGAAAATGAATGCAGTGGGCAGGAGATAGCAGCCCAGTGTCTGCTGGCAAGCATGAGGTTGTGAGTTTGATTCTTGATACTGAGGAAAAAAAGGAAAAGAAGGGAAAGGAAAGGAAGGAAAAGGAAAGGAAAAGGAAAAGGAAAAGGAAAGGAAGGGAAGGGAAGGGAAGGGAAGGGAGGAAAGGAGCATGAGGTTGGCCAAACTAGCAATCATAGAGGCAGAAGTCTGGTGCTGCTTAGGATCTCACAGACACCTGTGAACTCAGTGCTCCAAAACCTGAGTCCTAATTTTTAAACCTCTGTTCCCCACAGGGGGACAATACTGTATGCAAAAATTCTAGCAGATTCAAAATAAAATCATCTCTAGCTAGGTTCTTCACAACTAGTTAGATCCCTGGCCTCTGCCTGCCTCCTCTATCTCAGAGGGTATTTGGGACGCGCTCAGCTTTGTATCTGAGCTAACAGCTCTCACCAGTGTGAGGATTTAAGACTGAGTGACCCTCTCATTTGTTTTGGTAAGTACTTTTGTGCTAACAACAGGGCTTCTGTGGAGCTCCTACATTCCTTTTGCTATTAATCAGTCTCCAGCCTTCTCTTGTAAGGACACCCTCCCTCCCTCAATATCACACAGGCCAGAAGTTACTAGGCTTCTTTACTCACACTCCTTCTTTAAGATTATTGAGGGTGGTGATTCTTCTCCACAGAAGACTTCAGATTTAGATTTAAGGTGTTATTTCCAATGTGGTTATATACACAGAAATAAGGCCTAATAAGATGATGTTCATGGAACTATAAATTTATGTCCCATTAATGGCTATTTTGTCAACAGTGCATCATACAGTATTTTAATAATTAATCTTAAAAGTATGTTGTCGGGCTGGTGATTTAGCTCAGTGGCACAGCACCTGCCTGGCAATCATGAGGTTATGAGTTCAGTTCCTGATACAAAAAAATATATTTTGTCTATGTAATAATTACAACACATTATATTTTCTGTTAGTGTTAGAATCATTAATTGGTTTAATGTAAATATTTCAAATATGGCATAAATTTGGTGCTCACCCTTGGCTTCGCTCAGCTCACAGGACATGTAGATCTCTTGGTATTATGGTTTATATCTAGATTTCCTCTCAAAGTCTCATGAACTCATTGATGGGGTTTTTGAAAGGTGACTGAATCATGGGGATACTGCAGCTAGGAAGTGGGGCCCAACTGAAAGAGTGTGGACTCTGGGGACATGACCTAGTAGAGTGGATTTCCTTCTCTGGCTCCCTTGTCCCTCTGCTCCCTGATTTTTAAGATGTGAGTTGCTTTCTTTTGCTCAAGCACTTCCATCATGTCACTGATCATGCTAGGACTGAAACATGAGCCAAAATAAATCTTTCTTCCTTTAAGTTGTGGCTGTTGGGCATTTTGTCCTTGTAACAAGGAAAGTTACTAAGATAATTGGAAACTGTGCTTGTTTCCAGCTTCAAGGTAGGAGCCTTGGACTCCATTTACAGATGTCGATTCTCCACTGTCTTGCAGATACTTTTCTCTAGGATTTGACCAGTTGCCCTGGAAGATTCTCTTGGATTGTCAATGCATTCACTTTCCTGGATTCTGAGTAGTAATATCAGGCTGGATCATTGGGTCACTTAGTTAGAACTACTAGGTTGAGCAAAATTATGTGCTGCTTAAATTTGGTTCAAAATTATTGTTCTCAGATGGACTCTAGACTTTCTGGTTGTAATTCTGGAACAAGCTGGAGCATATTGGAACCAGTATCTTTAGTCTCTTCCCCATGATGCATATATTTCACCAACCCCCATGATTTGATTATTTATTACTGCGTAACAAATTACCCCCAAGTTGAGCAGCTTAAGACAGCAAGTGTGTATTGACATACATATTTTCAATGAGTCAAGCATCTGGAAGAAGATCAGTTGAGCAATTCTGGTTCACGATGTCTCACAAAGCTGTTGGCAAGATTTTGGCTGGTATTGTCATCATCTTAAGACCGAATATGGTATGGAGAATTTATTTCTATATTCACTCACTTAGTTGTTGGTAGGCCTTAATTCCTAACTGGTTGTTGGACAGAGTCTCCCTCAATTCATCACCATGTGGTCTTCTCCAAGGAGCAGCTTACAACATGGCAATTGGCTCTTCTTGACTTCAGCAATATGAGAAAGAGAGCCCAAGGTAGAAGCCATAATCTTAACTCACGAATTGTATATCATTGCTTCTTCCATATGAGATTGGTCACACAGGCCAAACCTTACTACTCTTTCAATTGGGCCCCACTTCCTAACATCACATTTAGCTGCAGTATCTCCATGATTCAGTCACCTTTCAAAACTATGTGGGAAGGGACTACAGAAAAATATGAATATCAGAGTTTAACTTGGAAGCTGGCTTCCATATCTTAGCTTCCCACTTGGCAAGTCAAGTTGCTACCTCATACAGTAAAATAGAGATATTGTTTAATTCAGGGAAGTGACTCCTAGGAAGTTCTTAGTAGAATTCAGGCACTGTTCTACAAGCTTTGAATGGATGAATTCAATAAATCTTAACAATCTGTGAGGTTAGTACAAGAGTTACTACCTTTTTGTGGTATGTAAAAAGAGGCACAAAATGGTTAAGTGACCATTACTTCATACTATATCTCTGAATGAACAAGACATTACTTAAGACTCCTCATTCTCCTGCATTTACTATTTTTTCATTTGGAAATGGAGCTCCTTAACCTGCATCCCTTTAAGTGCCATCTGTCTCTTACGCCTCTTTTGGTTGCAGGCAGTTCTTAAGGAACTCAGGGCTCTGACTTCCAAAAGACCCTCAAGCAACAAGTTTGAACCTGAATGCAGCTTTGGAGGAGGGTATCCCTGGTACTTTTGTTCCCTTCTCTGCTGTCACTCTGGGAGTCGGGCAGCTACTGGCCCATGCTAGGGGAAGGGATGGGCTCTGGTTTTCAGAAAATACAACAGTTAGTAGCTAACTGAAATGAGAGCAGAGTCAGGAAGACAGAGAGTTCACTCCAGGCTGACGATGAAGGGCATTCCACAGTCTGCTCCCTACCTGCCTTCCCAGGTTATTTTTTATCTTTCACTTCTATTGACAACAAATGACTCATCTTTAGGAACGCATTGTCCTCTTCTTTCCTTTGTGCCCTTGTTTTCTCTCTGCTCCCTCTCACCGTTCTCCATCTACTGATTCCTACAACTTCACAACCCAGCTGTCAGTCAGGGGTATCTTTCTGCAAGCCAGTGCACCTAAGACTTTAGTGAAACCTTCATGAAAACCCTCATTTTGAGGCTCTGTTAAACTTAAGATTTTAATTTGGTAGGTCTGAGGTGGGGCTTAAGGCTCTGTACTCCTAATAAATTTTTGGGTGCTGTGAACATTGTTGATCTGTAGACCACACTTTTTAAGTAGAAAACATCTAGCTTTCATTTTTTTCCTTTGGTCTTGTTGGAAATTTAAGCCTTTGGAAGGGAAATGAGATATCTTGCACTGAGTACTGGTAATGTGATATTCAAGAATGGTTAAATTCTTTTGGGAGATGTGTAGAAAGTATGGATTCCTGTTTTGCCTGGTACAATAGGGTTTCCTGAGACACAAGACTTTCAGTGCTATAATTAGGAAAGTCTAAGCTAGATATGGGGTGCATCCCTTGCCATCCCATGAGTCAAGAAGATTGCTGAGTGTTTGAGGCCAACCTAAGCTACATAGTTAAAGATCAGTTTGAACTGCGCAAGACTGTATTCTAAACAAGAAAAACAAAATAAGGAAAGTAGTCCTGGGTACCCTACTTCTGGTGGGTAGAGATGGTAGGGGCTGAAAATTCTGTTATTTATAACTTTCACACTAAGTGACAAAATTCTGCTAAATGTGTGAATATTTACTGGCCAGAAGGACAAGAAAGTCTTACAACTGATTCTTGAGGCTTTGGGGAAGATCCCATCTCTGCCTGAGGCTCTGTAGGTAACCCACCATGATAGTTTTTTCCTAAAATGGACACTAGAAAATTATGATTGCAGAATCAATCAACATTTGCAAGGGCATCTAAGGATAGAGACATAAGACCAACGGAACATTAGACTTTGGGCATTGCACCAACACTATTAGACTGCTTGTTGAATTTCTGTACTGCATATAAACTTGAGCACTAGGCTTGGTTCTACTGCCAGTGAGGAGCCCTCAGGATTTTGGACCAGAGTGCCTGCCTCAGGAATATGGGGTTCAGCCAGGGAATCAGCTCTGTGCCTTTTGACTCAGACTTAATTAGATTTAGCATGCATTGGTCTTTGTGCTATTTTGCTTGGAGGATGGCTAGAAGGTCATTTCAAGAAGTTATCATAATTCAAAGTAACTTCATTCCAAGTGGCAAAATATTTCAGATAAAATAAATTCCTTTTGGCTTCTCCTTATTCTTTCTTGTTCAGCACCAGGAAGAGTGAGGGGGAATGGAATTGTTTTTCTTTGGACTCAGGAGAGCACAAAACATGAAGACCCCTTCCAGGGATCAGAGAAGC